TTCCATGGTCCAGTTGTAGTTTCTATTGTCCAGGTGTAGCTTAATGGACCAGTTGCAGTTTCTATGGTTCGAGTGTAATTCCTACGGTCCAGATTTAGTTTCTATAGTCCAGGTATGGTTGTTATGGACCAGGTTGCTGTTTCTATGGTCCGAGTGTAATTCCTACGGTCCAGATTTAGTTTCTATGGTCCAGGTGTAATTTTTACGAGTCCCAAAATGAAATGGTTGAGTCCAAACTGGGAGGACAAAAGCAGGGGTCCCTCTGAAAACCGTCCGTGTGATCCCGGGGACACATATCCAGCTGAAGTTGATTAAATCCAGGAAAGTGAGGGGAAAAGGCAACGGTGGGAGAAGAAGTAGAGCTGATATGATTTAATAAATATGTAAAGTTATGAGCAGTAGGATGTTAAATGCACGGAGACACTTTGTGGCACACAGCGTGTTCCATCGCGGTGAATCACGGTTTAAGTGTTCAGCCCACTTAAGGTTTGCAAGTCACACAGGTTTGAAGTGATTTGTGAGGCGTGCAGTGTTTATGGAAATGCACACGGCAGGATGGAGTTTAAAAAAACAGACTATTAACACAATGGAGGTTTGTTGGAGAAAAAGAAGTGGGTTTCGTGCAGAACGTCAGCGGATTACAGCCGGGCAACATTCAGGCCCTAACTCTAGATATAGACGTCATTTATTTGTAAAAACATCATTTATTTGTCAACTATTTGCTTTTATTAGCTGCGTCAGGTGTGGGGTCGTATTATGCGTTCCGCTTTGGCAAAACGTTTTTATCTCTGTGCGTCTGTTAGCAAAATATCTCATGACCTACTGGATGCATTTTGATGGAATCATCACTGGGTGAACATCTAGAGCTCATTAGGTTTTGGAGCCAACTGCGGTCCAGATGTCCTCGGCAGCAACAGGAGCAAACACAAAAACGGCGTCCAAGCCTCCAGTTTCAGATTTGGTGTGGTAGTTGCTGAGAGTCGTTCTCTGAGCAACAACTTCCGTCCTGATTCGAGTTCAGCTTGGTGCATCATGGCGTGTGGTCGTGTTTAAATGTTTAAAGGGGGACAGTTCAGTTTATAGAAGTAGGATGTTGTATTTGTGAGTGGAACTGGAACCAGTTTAATCCAACGTCAGTTCTGACCTTGGACACAAACAAGCGCAGGTTACCAGTTCAAAAACCGATCCAGACTCTAAGGTGAGATTTTGATACAAGTTTGGGTTCACAGTTAAAGTCGACACCGATAAGTAATCATTAAATCATTTAGCAAGTTTCACATAAAATCTTCCTGAATCTCTAAATTGTTCTTTATGCTGCAGGTAAGACACTGACTGCTCAGAACTGTCCCGCTCGACACAAAAAATCTGAACTATCCCTTTTCACCTCCTCACTCCTGTTCAAGTTAACTGATTTTTAATCAACAAGTTAATTCATGACAAACTCGGCGCTAATTCTGCACAGAACTAACTTTTTTTACTTTAACGACATGAAATATGATAAAACTGAAAATGTTTATCTTCAAATTACAACAGCCAAATAATACAAATGATAATTAATAGAAGTGTATTTTAATACTTTCCCAGTTAGACTTTATAAAACGTAGCGTCAACCCCAACAACAAACAAACACTTTAACCAATTTAATATTTTATTGAAGTTTTAGTCTTTAAGTACAAATTATTGTTGTTAGTAGAAACACAGAGAAATAAACAACGTTTAGAAAAAGGGGAACACTTTAAAACATTTTGTCCAGAGCAGGTTGACCGTGGGGGGGGGGGGGGGGGGGCGTCCGACGCTGGGACAAAAGAGAGGAGGGGCAGCACGTGTGGCCTTCCTCACCCCCCCACTCCCTGCATCCTCCTCACTCTGTTTCTTTCACCCTCTGGTCCGACGCACTCTCGTAACACTCACACCCGGGATGAATGGCGGTAATCAGAACAAGTGTCCGCCCGCTGCAGGCGTCCAGCGGGCTCATCGAGGCTGGGGTCACTATCATTGGCTAATTAGCTGCCTCTGGAGTGCAGCTGCTGCCCCGAGGACAAGTCGCTTTTACACACGCACATCTGGCCTCAGCTAGCCTCTGCACATACAATAGACCGTCATTTAGGTGTGATTGCTACTCGCTTTCACCGTACAGTCAGGGTGATGGGGTCAAGGCACGAGTGTGTGTGAGGAGCAAGGACGCAGGGCAGCTCTGATTGGTGTTTTAAGGAATACAAGATCCCCATTAGGCCGAGGGAAGACAACGTAAGGAGGGCGAAACTTCCATCAGCAATCGTGCCGTTATTTGCAAACCAAAGACGGACGTGACCGGACGGGCCAAACGTCTGCGCTCTTGTCCTTCATGTGAGAGGAGTTTATTTGAGGGAGGAGAAAGCCTGGAAGAGTTTGGCCAGGTTAACGTCGGAGTAGCTGCTGGTGGCCAAAGCTTTGTCCAGAACGTCTTTTAGCTTCTGGTACAGCTCAGGTGGTTGTTTGGAGACTAGATCTGGAGGCCAAACAGAGAAGAAGAGTTACCGATCAAATCCATCATTTACAACTTCTTCATTTACAACTTCATCATTTACAACGCCATCATTTACAACTTCATC